CCCCCCCCGCCTCACCTGCGGGCCGGGTAGCGGGGCCGTGGATGGGCGCTCACGCCCGCCGCGCTGCCATGCCGCCGCCGCCACCGCCGCTTCCCCGCTCCGCCCCGCCGTGTCACTTCCTGAGCTCCCGCCCCGCCCCGCCACCGGCACCGGCCCCGCCGGGGTCCCCGCGGCCCGTCTGGGGTCGGGGAACCGCGGCCGGGAGACGGACTCCCCCCCCCCGGGGCTGCCCCCGTTGCTCTGCCCCGGCGGCGGGGGAGCCTGCAGGGGAAGGAACCTCGTTAATTAAAGCCCTGACTAGAAAAGGGATCGGGAGCAACAGGGGCTGTAGCCCAAGGGATGAAGTGGAAGAAGTCTCCTCTTCCCGGTGGGACAAGCAGACCATCTGCTCCCCCAGGGATGCTGGCTGAGCCCCCCGACACCCCGGCCAGCCCAGAGGAAAGGGGCCGTCCCGCAGCAGCACCAGCACCAGCTAAGGCAGGGGGGCAGAGCGCCTCTTCCACAGCACCCACCATCCCCGTACCGCATCGCTTTCACCAGGCAGTGCTGTATTTTGATAGCTGAGGAGCATCAACCAAGCTCCATCCCACACAGAAAAAGAAACAAGGAGCCATTTCAGTAACCAGGCTTTATAAATGATTTTCAACAAAGGCTTTTCTGAGCATGAGCTACAAATTACTCCTTCGTTCATCTTCTCTCTACTACTCACTGGGAATAAATGGCAGGATAGGTCTCCTGTTCCATTCTTGCCTTGTTTCACTGCTGCGTGCACCGTACCTTCTCATTTCAGTCCCCAATGTGTGAGAGGGACACTGCCACACGTCCCAGACATCTGTCATTGACAACATGAGCAGAAACCAAATAGAAGGTGTGTCTGAAATTCCAGCATGGCACTGGTATTCCAGCTGACACATTGCTGACAGGAGGTTTTCCTTACTAAACCACCCCTCGCCCAAGCCATGGAACCCCCATCACCACCACATAGGAGAAACACCAGTGGGGGTGAACTCAAAGAAAATCTTTTCTTGACAAAACTGACGTCAAAGCTTGTTTCAACCAGAGGATTTTATCTTCCATGTTCATGACTACCTTATTCAGGTAGCCACCACTGCTGCTCTTTGACCGAATCCAAAACCCTTCCTAAAAACCACGATTTGAAGGTTTCTTCGTATGTGGAAAACCCAGAAATGACGAGCCACTTCAGCAGTGTAAGAAGACCTCCTGTTCATCTTCCTTGACCTCCTGTCCATCTTCCCTCACCCACATACAAACAAGCAAAGGCAGTGGAGAAGAACTCCATGGGGCTGGATGGTCTCCACCCGGACAACTTGTGCTCTGAGCATCCCACCACAGAGCACTAGTATCACATTGGGGGTGAGCATGAGGACAAGCTACTCCTCACAGATAACAAACACCCCACCCAGCACATACCCTGCAGATGGCTGGTGACACTGTCCCACAACGGAGACAGTCCCCACCAAGAGGAAATCACTTCCAGGGCCACTTCCACCACTGCTATCTGTCTGAGGCAATGCAGTGTGATGAAAACAGGAAGGCAAAAGCAGCCAGTTTGAGAAATAAACAAATACTGCATCGAGCTCTCTCTTTCTCCAGAAGTAACCTGGGAGCAGGCCCTGCCTCCCATCCATGGGGAAGAGGAGGATTCAGTTCTGAGCAGAGGACTCTAAGGCCAAGCAGAACACAACTGAGCAACTCCGCTCAGCAGTCTCCAAATGCCTGCTCTACTTTGAAAGTGCTCAAGTCATCCCTGGGCTGCCACGACTTCGCAGGCGTACCGGCGTTAGTTGGCACACAGAGGTTAAGTGATTGTTCATCCTCCAGGAAAATCAATACAGGGATCGTTACTGCTTTGAAGTCACAGGCTCCCTGGCCTGCTCCCCTCTCATCAGACCACCTCTCTCATACAGATGAATGCAAACCCAGCAGAGACCCATCCTTCATCCCAAATGGCTTCTCAAATTTGGGGATGATGAAATCTTTCATACCAAAGTCAGCCAAGAGAACCAACTGCTCAGGGTTTTTCCGCTTCTGTTTGCCTTCAACTGGAACACGGGCAGGATTAATTATCCCTTCCATCTCTGTTACACCTACCACCCTCACATCCCTTATCAAAGGCATCTATCTGCCCAGCAAAGGATACACAATGTCCTGATGTTTCACACAAGTGCTCCTCTGTCCCAGGAGGCGCTCCAGCAATGTCTGAATGGTTCCTGACTGCAGTGGCTCCACCTGGCAATGACTGCTCTGAACCTGAACAGTCAGAAGAAAGAATGAGTTCCAGACCAACAGGGAACTGTTGGGCTTGTTCCTTTGTACCTCCCTCCCTCATCTCCACACAGAGCAATGAGACCTTCAAACTTTGCTCTGGGGGGAATCAAGGTGTGGCCCAATATGGCAATACAGTTTAGGCAGCTGCTGGCATCACTCTTTTTCCGATCTCACCATACATCCCTCAAGGCAGTCAGCCAAGCTAACAGCTGCAGGATTATTCTTCATCTTACTATAACCTCCTCAAAGGAAGTTTACCACTCCCATCAGAGGCTAAAGCAATTCCCCAGGGATTCCCTTCTTGTTTTCCAAGGCAGTCAACCACTCTCTTACCTGACAAAGGAAGAGGTGAAGAGCATGAGATGTGGCCTCAGGCAGCTCTGCCAGGTTGGCTTCTACTGCCTCCTGGAGAATCTGGCTAATTTCCTTTTGAGAAATAATATTGCTGCTCTGATATCTCAGAAACTTGAACAAAGGAAAAAATAGAGACATTAAACAGTGAAAGACCCACAGACTCCAACAGTGACTCATCTCCTGGAAAGACCTCTTCTGCGTAATGGGATGCTGCAGCACCTTAAACACAGGCCTGATTTTTATATCACTTATAAAAGAACCAGTGCAAATATCCCTGTTGACAGTGCTCGGACTTATAAGCAGACTTATTTTGGTTTAGGTCGGCAAGGAAATTAAATGAACCAGGTAACCTTTAAAAAGTGAAATAACAAGGATTCACAGACCAATCATGTATTTGGAGGCATAAGCTTCACATTCATAACCCCTTCCTTTCATCCAGTGCCGTGAGGGCTTTATCTCAGCATTTCTGCAGTGTAGGACCACATTCTTGCTTGCAGGCCCCAGGAACAGCAGGGCAGTAGGCTGTGGTAACTCCCTGCCCTGAAAAGTCAGGTCTGTAAGGTCAAAGACGAGGAGACAAGCTCTGATGCCAAGCAGAGCTCCACTCTCCCTGACTGGAAACAGCAATTGCATGCTCTCTGCAGGCTTCCCCTCTTGTCCCCAGGGGTCCTAGATGATATAAATAAATGCTACAAACACCAGAAGAACAGGACGTGCTCACTAACGGCAGTGAGTTTCTGCAGTGTGTGGAAGGGAAGTTCACTTGAAAGTATCATTATTATGGGGCACGAATGTATTGACAGACAAAGCCACAGCAGTACCTGAGATTGTGTGTGCATAGGGGGTGAGTTCCAGTAAGTGACCCACGTGCACTGTATCAACAAACTGGGAAAAATGGAGAATGCTCTGCCCTCCCCCTGCTTACCAAAGTAATAAGCCTGAGAACTTCTGGCTGCAGAAAGGACTTCTGGCTCCCACTGAGTAGTGTGAAGAGCAGGAATCGGTGCCAGGGCTGTGAAGCAACATGTAGAGCTGGGAGAGAGGAAAAGTCAATCAAAGACAGTTTTAAAATCAGCCAAGTGACAAGCTGGACCCGGGTAAGAACAGTCTTCGGTACTGACCCCAAGTTTTCTCTTCTAGACGCCCTGCTGTGAAATACTAAGGGGAGATTCTTCTCTGTTCTGACTTGCTTTTTAATCTGTCACTCTTTGGGCAAGAGTTTAGTCACGAGGACAAAAGCTTAATAGCCTTCTAAAGCAGAAAATACATTTTGTCCATCTTTGTGCTGGTACAGGAAGAGAAACCTTCTCCTGGGGTGCATGTCATAAAATAGTAACAGGATATCTTTAGCCCAGGGTTTTAAAAATAATGCCCTCTGGTTTCAATATGAGGACAAATTTCCTGACCATGGGTTTTATTTAGCTGCAGAATACTCTTTGGGGAATGAAGAAAGACCTATAACATTAGCTACGCAAACCAAGCCTGGATCTGCATCAGAGAGTGTACTACAGGGACGAGAGAGGCTTATGTCAGCAATGCAAACAATATGTTCTTAATAAGGTGCATATATGATAAACAGAGGTAAGACTCAAGGACACCGTCTGCGACAGCGTGAAATCTCTCACTCAACGCTGAAGTGTTATTACCTTGTACTTATTGCAGGTTAGGATGTATTTATTGCATGGGATGGACAATTACAACAGGTCAGCTGATGCAAGTTGTTACACCACGGAAACTCATGTCTGAGTCATGGGACTCAGAAAGTTCCTCCTTCCACTGGCAGCCGTGTAACTTTCCTATTGCTACTACAAGAAACTTTTCTATGGGAAACCACCACTGAAAAATCAGGTAAAATGTTTGGGGTTATCTTTTAGCTGGTGGAAATGAGAAGGTACCAGCACTGTCCACTGTCCTGGTTTGGGGTGGAGCAGAGCCAACTTTCTGTTCAGTGAGAGAGGTTCTTGCTTATGCTTGTTGCTGTAGCAACCAGGGTCAACTGACTTGGTTGTTTACTCCATGGAGGGGTTAACTTGTGGGGAGGAGTGTACAGGTTGGGTGACCCAAACTGACTAATAGGGTATTCCATCCCACCTGCTGTGCTCAGTAGAAAAGCTGAGAGACCAAAGGGGTTAGGTTGGCTTCTTTTCCAATGGCTAGGTTTCTTCAATGGCTCTCCTTCTTTAATGACTGACGTCTGAGGAGCACCCTGTCAGTTTGTCTACCTTTGATCCCTCTCTCTTGGTTTCTGAATCAAGATCCAGAATCCAGTTCACATTCGTCACCGAGTCCAGTCTGGAACTTCCCCAGTGCCTGCTGGAGACATCTCCCTGGGAGCTTCATACGGTTTTGTATATATTTGTATATATTGTATCTATTCATTATTTCCTTTTTTATTTCATAATTAATATTTCATTAGTTTTTTTCTAAACTCATAAATCTCTTTATCTCTCTTCTTCCTCTCCTTGGAGTGATAGGGAAGAGCATCTGTTGTCTTGTCATTTGCCAACCCACTACATGCACTGAGCCTGCTTTACGCATCTGGAAAAATCTCTGGACCAAGACAGGGTTCTAGAAAGCCTCAAAGGAGGCAACCACTAGATGCAGAGTCCAGGCCACACTTTTTGCAGTGTTCTTGCATCTTTCAGTCAAACATAGCTATGGGTACCATTCTGCTTGGAACAAGGAGACTCCTGCTATTGTTGTTGTGAACTCGTGCACCACAGTAAGAATTTAGGCAGGCAAAGTGACAGGTTCAGCTGTTGCTGAAGTAGCATTTCATTAGCATAATCCCAAATCAGCAGAACCTCCCCATAACACGAACATGCCATTCTTTACTTTTTCTTTTTTTTTTTTTTTTTTTTTTTTTTTTTTTTTTTTTTTAAACCCAGCCTTTTAATAGCCTCCCTTCAGCTACTGGCTGTCATTCATCTGCAGTATTACATCTTCATTCAATCACTTCCTCTCTCCCACCAGTGTCCCTTTTGTCTGGTGTTCATTCACTCCGTCCCTTTCTCTCTTAGTGTTTAAATGACTGAATCGAGCAGGTCAGGGGCACAGAGAATTTTCTGTCTACTTTAAGATCACAGCCAGCACCTGGACTTTGTGGCAGGAGGCTGACAATAAGCAGAAGGGTCTATTCTTCCCTCCAACTGTACAATGCAGGCATATTATGTTATATTGCTAACACGGTATACATTAGGACTGACATGGACTCCAGAAACCAGGGTCTGCATTCGCCCCGGAAATCTAGGATTTCCAGCTTCCATTCCCTAAGGCTACCTAGTACACTGTTCTTCCTTCCCCTCCCTCAGGGCCAAACTGTGACCAACACTGTCTGCGTGGAAGACACATCATATTCAGATCATCCGTCCCCTATACTTGTGATCTAAAGATTTGCTACAATTTGCCTGGAAGTGAAAGGCTATTCCTATATGCCTTCTATTCCTAAACTTTTCACTCTTACCATATCAGGGGTGGGGCAATTACTTTTTTCCTTCTGGAAAGCATCTTGCTATCCAGAGCCGAAGTGAGGGCTCATGTCTGCAGGGGATCCAGACACTGTGATTTCATCCCACAAAGCACATGATTAACTTTAGGCATACAAATAATTTTTCTCATTGGGCATAAACTCATTAAACATCTGCTCCAGGACATTACTGGATGGAGATCAAAGAGCTCAAAATCACTGCAGGAGGGAAACCCAGGAGAAGAAAGGGCAGGAAGACTTTACCAACATCCTGGTTCTTCACATACAGGTATTCCACTAAGGTTTCCAGGCAGGCAACCACCGATTGAGAGAGCAGCAAGTCTTTCTGGAATACCAAGAGGGGAGAAAAAAAGAAGAAAGGGGGGGGGGAAAAATCAACAGCTACTGCAAGAGGAAAATTCATAAAGTGGCAGGATCTGAAGAGCATGCAGCACAGGAAAATAACACCCTTCATCTCCTTCACGGGATGCAACATGCTGCAAATTACCTGTCACATCAAGAAGCCAGACAAAGGTACAACTACTCATTCTGAGATTAAAAAAAATAAATTAAGTAACAGCCTCTAAAGAATAAGATGGGAACCCAACATTGCTCAAGAGAGTTAAATGTAAACCAATGTACTATCCCCTGGAGCCCAATATCATTTCAGCAAGTTAAATGCACACTGATGTACCACCCCCCAAAAGCACCTTGCCAGGGGTGTGGGGAAGGGACTTTTCCCACCTATGTCTCTATGGGTGTGGCATCCCTGCAGAGCAGGAGATGGGGAAACAGAGATTAGTACACAGAATTTCGGCTATCCGTTTCAGCAGCAGGGAGTACCGCATAGCTTGATTTACCTTCTTTCTCACTGCGCCATGCTGCAGCAAGAGCATTTTCCCTCCTCCTCATCACATGTCTGTAAGGGGTGGAAAATGCAGGCAGAAGATAAAAAAAAGACAACCCCTTAGGTTGTGCAACAGGGTGGTTTCTCCTCCAAGTGTACCTGCTTGAAGCCCAACACTAGTGTTGTTCCAAAAGTCATATTTTATATACCTGCAACTGGACGTGCACCAAAAGGTTCTGTAGACTGACAACAAGCGAGAAGACCTGCTGCGTGGCAAGGGGGTGCAAGGCAGCATCCTGCTGTGATGATGGCTGTGGTCTCGTAGCACCTTGGGCTGTGTTTTGGCCAACGGTCACCAGCAGAGAGGAGGAGAAGTTCTGTCGCAGGACAGCTCTCAGGAACTGCATGATGCTCACTAGAGAGGGAGCTGCTTATTAGTGCATGTCAGTGTTTTCCTCTCCCCTGCCCTGTGTTGGTGCCTGTGCAATAGCATGGGAGAGGTGAGGAAAGAAAATTTGGGTTTAAGGGCCCACCAGAGTTGCCCAGCAGCTGCTGACACCTGCAGGCAGGAATGGCAACATGAGTTCCCTTGTTAGTCTCCTCTCTGTGAGGCACTATCACAGTTCATGCTCAGTTCCAGATGTCACTACCAACCTCCAAGGAAGATTTGTCCAAACACAGCAGAACTTCAGACAGTTCCCTTTTGCCCGTTCACACCACCAGTTACGTACTCCCAAAGCCAAATGGACCAAATCTTCCAGATTCCCACTAGCACCAGCACCATCCCATCCCATAGTCACCAGTTCCCCTTTGTTGCCTGTAACGCGGTACTAGCAGCTGCGTTCAGTCAAATCCCTGTAACACATGCAAAATACCTAACAGCAGGATTGGCTTCTTCTTCCTGAAGATGACTGCATTCAAGACTTCTGTTAGGTCTAGAGAGAGCGTCTGGTGAACCTAGAGGAGAATGAAACATAGGAGAATAAATGGTGCTGGTTTGCACCAGGTAAAAATCTCCCTTACATACCTTCAGTCCTTAGACACTACCCCAGTCTGACCCAAAAGGGAGAGTCACATCATTGGGCCCTCAAGTTTCACACATCACCAGTTGCCAGCCCCACACAGCTTCCAAACCACAGTGCAATTCATTTGCCTGTCTCGCACTCACAACTCCCTGCAGGCCTTCTGGCACATGGCTGGCAGACTGCTGAGCACATGGGATAAGAGGAACAGCCATCACCAGACACGGCTGTACCTTAGCCACACAGTCAGGCAGCTTCAGCAATACTGAGCAGCAGAAAGCAGCAAAAGAAGTGAGTCTTCCTCTTAGCCCCTCTCCTTCTCTCACAGCAGGAGGTCAGAAACACTGAAGCTTAGAAATGCTGAAGCATCCTTGAACCACTTCCCTTTGCTACCTGCATCTGTGGCTTCTTCTCAACACTGGTGCAAGAAGGATTTTGGATCGCAGGTCATAGCACATCAAGCCAGTAAAGTATTGATGAAACCAAACAACAGGCTTGTAAGCCACTAAATGATTGCACTTAAGGATCAATATGAGCTGCGAGAGTCAATCCCAGAAGAAGAAACTCAACACCAGCCACTAGAACTAAGTTCCTTTTGGGACTGGCTCAACATTGACCACCCAGACTCAGCTGTGACTTGGAAACTGAGAAGGTAAATTGTGCTCAGCAGTTAATAGAGCAGAGGCAGGGAGGTCTTGCTACACATTCACACAGCGGACAGTCCATACAAGTCCCACAATGTAAAACCCAAGCAGAGGCAGGACACCTGTGAAGTAACAGATAGAGACTTGGACTGGTTTGGCCTTTTGGAGAAGTCTTCCCTCAGCATTAGAGAACCAACCCTTGCCTCTCTGTGCAGATGCACGCATGTCCTTAATGTGGTTTTATCATTCATGTCTCCCAAGGAACAGACTCTGCTGGGCAGAGCTCACAACTCATGGCATGCTGTTTAACTCCGTATCAAGAGAGGGAGAGAGGCCTAGGTAGATACTTCAAATAGAAACATTATCGCCTTGTGTTGGCATTAGAAAATGCCTTCCTCAAAGTTGTAATTCCATCATCAGTGGACAACTCCAGCTTAACTCTCTTGTCAGACTGCAAAGCATCAAATAAAATGACAGCTGTCCACATTCATATAAGCTTGCTAATACTGAGCACTCGCTACCAATAGGTTTGGATTATGACTGTTCCACTATTGATCATCTTAGTACCAAAAAAAGCACTTTACAACATGGGAATTGTGTCTCCCACCCCTAACCTTCCTTTGAGAAAGGCCTTCAAATGTATTTTGCTCTGTCCTGAAGAGGAAAGTGATCTGGATCAGGAGGGCTGAGTATGCACTTTTCCTCCTAGGATTTCTGCCCCTCTGTAACTCTCCAATGATCTGTGCCTCAGCCTTCCACAACATGCCAGCTTCCTGCTGGAGAAGGCCAGCAAGGAATAACTTGTTGACAATAACAAAAGAGCAACCAAGACAAGTAGATTCCAGGCCAAAGCAAATCACTTTCCTCTGCTAATGAAGAATTATTTTTATTTTGTTAATGTTTAGCCATTCCCTGGATCTGAACACTAGAGTGGTTCTAACCTCAGTATTGTAGCGATGCTGATAAAGTAAGAGGGACGCAACCAACAGCCATCCAGAGCACAGCAAGGCATCTTCAGATGACAGGTAAGCAGGTTCAGAAGGAGGGGACTGCAACCAGGTGCACTCCAAAACCTTCTGCAGGAGCTCTAGCAAGGGCACATTGGAGAGCAGCACCGCCACTGCTGTGTGGGAGAAACATAATCAGAGAGGGTGATGGGATGGCACAGGTTAAACCAGCTTGACAAGCAGAAGAGATGTGCAGCGCACGCCCCTGCTGCAGTGAGGCAGCTCCAGCTGCCACGGCTCATCAGAGTAAGGCTGTCCAGCTACGCTGGTATTCATCTCCCGCAGAACAAGCGACCACTCGGCCAGCTAATAAAATAACCAGCCTTCAGCTAACACAGCTGGAAGGTTGGTTAGAGCTGTTCTCTATTATTGTTTAATTTTTTGAACCATGGCAATACCAGCACATTTCAAACAAGGCACCAAATCTCCACTGCTGTGTTTTATGAACAAGAAAAATACAGTGATTCGGTCTCAGCAGCCAATTCCTGAATCATCAGAAGGCAGTAAAACCAAACCAAAACAAAACCCTCAACCTAAAAAACCTCATCCCAAATACAAAATGGTCTTTGTTAACTGTACTGCTGTGTCTGGAAGGGGAAAAATCCACCTTACCTACTGAGACAGAACACAGCCTCTGATGGCCAAGCTACAGCCCCGCCAAGATTAACTTAGCAATCAATACAATCTTGCCTCACCTCTCTGTTGACTACAAGGTGTTGTCTGATGAAGGCTGCAGTACAGAAAATTCAAGGAAGGCTGCAGGAGGTCAGTGTCCCTCGGCTTGCATTTCCCACAGAGATTACTGACTGGAAACAAAAGAACCAGCATAACACAGACACCAACATAACAGAGCACCTCAGCACGAGAAAGAAGTCAGTCAGTAGGGAGAGAATTCAGACAAGAGCGACACAACCTGAAGTGAAAATAAACAGAGCGTGGTACAGACAAAGCAAGAGGCAACTGCCTTAGAGTATTTGCTTTAGAACGAGCAGTGCAGTGGAGGATGATAACAGAGAGAAGGGAATAGAAAAGGGTATGTGCACATACAACATCGGGCAGTAATGAACCCAAGAACAACAGACTGTAAGTTACCTGTTTCCACAGAGTGAGCTTGATCCTAATCCTAGGTCAACCATAAACAGCCGTGTGCCTGTCTCACATGGTGACCAGACTGGGGAATGGCATGGAGAGCTCTGCTCCTCCATTCTCACCAGCTCTGCTCACACAAGGAATAAATGTGCCATGCTTGTTGTAAGCACCAAACACTTAGCAACAACATTTAGCAAGAGTTTGGAAGGGAAATCCAGGACTGCAGGGCTCAGCAAAACTGTCATAGGAGATCTTTTGAAGAGCTTAAAGTCTGAGTAAGCAATTCTCAGAAAACACACATCAACACGCCTCTCCACTCGCCCTCCATCTACAAGCTGGTTTCACGTAGGCCTCATCAGAGGAGAGTGCCCTGCACACCCACCCCTGAAGAACATAGCCAGGGGAGCCAAGCAGGGAATGAAGGGGCTGGCTGGGGCAGGGCTGTTTTGAAAAATACAGAGCATAAAGCAAGAGCAGAAGGAGCTTGTGACTCCTTGGAGCAGCTGAGCTGTGCTCTGAAATCACAGCAGCTAAAAAGGGCTTGTATAAAGAGGACATGCTTCTTCCACACCCCCCATTCCCTTGGCTAATGGATGTCTGAGAAAAACTGCTTCTTTACCAGGGCAACACAGGCAGCCCCGAGACACGGAATATTTCAAATTGAAGGAGATAATCCTTCAAAGTCTGCTGAAAAGATCAATTTGTCAGAGCAGAGAAGAGATGAGAGGATGGATCAGCTGAACTTCCCTCTAGTATCTATTCTTTTTTTACAGCCTGCATGAACATCCAATACCCAATGAAGAAGGGAGAAGTCACCAAGTAAGGATCACCAGCCAAGACAGCAGGTCACAGTATGGTAAGCAAACAAACACAGCCCACTCTTCTATGTCACTGGGGTGAATTGGGCAAGTCCTGCAGCTGGTTGGGACCCATATACTCTGGACTCATACTCCAGGGAGAGCCCGGGTTTACTAGGCTGCTGGTCCTTGATGGCTGGTTCACAGGACATCACTGTGGCCTGAAGCCCACAGGAGTATATTAAGCAAGTGTGAACAGGGAAGGATGTTTCAGAAAGCACAACAGCAATACTGTCATGTGCCAAGTCAACAACAGTCACAGACTGCGAAATCATTTCATGGCCAGGAGAATACTTTGTCCACCTTATGATGTTTCAGACAACAAATGTATTATAAAAGCAAGAGGCAGAGAAACTGGGTTCAGTTGACTGAACTGTAATCAGGGCTCTTTACAATGCTCTAGCTATGAAACTATCTCAAAGCAACTGTAATGCAAGGTACACCTTCTCTCAAAGGACAAAGAGCCAGCCCTAATCATCTTATGGAACAATTAACAAATACAAATCAAGCTCCCTGGGAGAAGATGGATGCACAGACTCACCCTGATGAAGCAGCTTGAAGTCTGTGCTGTCCAGCTCCCTCACACCCTTGCTCCGCAGCTGCACCAGGAAAAGGAGGCTCAGCAAAACAGGCAGGTTCCTGTTAGCTGAAGAAAGGCACAGACAGCTTAGCTTTTCAGTGAACTCTAAACTGTTGTACCTTAAAGCATGCCAAGAATTGGTAATTTTCCAGCTCAAAAATGAGTGTGGGTTAGGGCTGAACATGTTCCTCCTTTACAAACACACACATATACATGTTCCCAACTAAATTCTCACCTCTACAGTCCCTTCTGGATCAGGCCCCCTTTCTGCCACTGTGGGTTGGCCTGAATTAACATGCTGGATCCTGCTAACATCATTCTAGGAACAACTAGATAAAAGGTGGGAAGAAAAGGAGGCCAGGGTCTTTTACAGACTTAGTGAACCATGTAAGGGGCATGGTCACCGCACATTCAAATCGACACCTTTAATAAGCTAGAAGTCACTATCCCTTTGCAGACTGCCCTCTTCCCATCTACTTGACCGTAACGTCAAGTAAATGGTAGCCCATGCTTTGACACCAGCCCAGCACCTCAGAGCACTTGGCTGCACGGCGTTTGTTCTCCAGCATGTTGTGAGGCCAGAAAATTATGTCCGTCCTGCCCCACAGAGCAGAGCAGAGACAGTAGAGGTGAGAGCCCCACATGTCAGGTCATGAGGAGAGTGGAGCTGGTCAGACCACCAAGTCCCCAGGGCAACCCTCTCCCTAATATATTCCCTCTTCTGCAGCCCTGTAAACAGTGCTTTGCATTGTATATAACCATACCTACAGCAAGCAACCATGGCTTCCAGAAAATGTCTTCACAAGGGCTCAGGAGTTTTCAGTTTTGAGGAGAAAACATTTACAGGTGTCTTTAATGTTAACATACTCTTGATGGAGTCCCACTGTTGGGCCTTCTTGTTAAGTAAGAGCAGGCTACTGTCTGACCAGGAATGAAGATCCCCCGGATTTATCTGCCCCAGGCCTCACAGAGAGCTGCCTGTGTGCTGTGAGACAAAGAAGTCATGTCTCCAGAGTACATCTGGTGTTTGACTTTCTGGATGGGGCTGCCAGTAACTCAGCTAACGAGTTCAAGACACAGTATGAAGAGGAGCTGGGGATACTAGACACAGCAGAAGGGCTCTAATCTTGCAAAAGCCACTCTAGCCCAGTGTCCTGTCTCCATCACCAGCAGTTTGGAGGAATAGGTCTGACTCCTGCAACAGGAAATGGACTATCTACCTCCCGACAGCCCCTGGCACCACTAGGTCAGTGACAGAGGGACACCACAATTCCAAACAATATCAGATCTGGCGATGCCAACATTGCCTTCTTTATCCATAACTTTGTAGCCTTATGCTCTGTGATGCTCGTGCTTTCAAGCCCCCTCTTCTCCAGCCTACCGATTTTGCTAGAGATAAGGCAAAACCACTTTCCCTATTGTTGATTCCATCCCAACTGCTGCACAGCAAAACACTCCAAACAGAGCAAGGCTGTTACAAGTGTCAGCAGCCCCCTCAGGAACAACCAAAAGCTGTGCTGGGTCCCTATCCCAGGGGAGCCAAGGAAATCCTAGCACTGCTCCCTTTTTCAGTTCAAGCTCACAGGTTGCTTTGCACAGTACCATTCATGACGAGACAACAGTCCCATCTCTGCAGCCAGGGCTAGTAAGGAAAACAGAGGGATTTCCCCTAGTCACAATCCTGCTAAATCTTTGAGAGATTGAATAGAATTATGAGATCTGGTGATACTACGGTTCCTGTTTGGAGATCAATGAATCATGAATGATTCAAACAATTTCTGATCCCGGTCCCTGTGCCCTGGGAACCGAGTGTACTCAGGCACACCAAGCTGTTTGTTTTGCACAGAAAAGAGGCAAAAAGGAGGATGTCTTTCAGCCACCAGTTGAGCCCCTGTTCAAGCTGGGAGATTTACCAGCACAGCTGTCCACTTGAACACTTACCACACTATAAGAAAACCTTGCCTTTGTTTAACAATCACAGTTTGAAGCCAGAACAACCTAAATCAGAAATAGACTCTATCACTTCAAAACAAGAATAGCTGGAGAAGGAAACTAAATCAGCACATTCTGTCCACAGATTTCCTCGTGCAGGTAAGTATTGAAGCTACATTAGCAGTTCAAAAACACTTAATCCCAGACTGCATCCCTTCAGCCATCTACCCTGCTAGTTGATCTTACAGGAAGACCAAGACACAGAAGGGAGTCACCTTGTAAGGAGGCTGAGCTGCTCTCTACCAGCAGCTGCTGCAGAATCTGTAGGAACTGACTCCGGAGGAGGTCACAGACAAGGACATCCTCATTTTTTTCCAGGAAGGTCCTTAGAGTCATCAACACCTTCCAAGCCACCTCCACAGAGCTTGAGCAGACCAGGTCCTGCGAGGGAAGAAGCACACACATTACCTTTCTGCCATGATTAGGCACAAGTCACTGCTATTTAATACCATTATGCTAATCTAGTGCCTTGGGAAACAGCCTAATAAAGCACCATTCAGATTAAGTAAGCCCTGATTAAATAGATAACTGAATAAAGCAGATGGACTCTCCTCTGATAGGCACCTCTGAGTAATATCCCGTTTAAAGAATGATTTGGCTATGCGACTCCTGACCAGCACACAAGTGTACGAGTAACACACATTTAATGTCACGGTTTTAGACAAGTGAGATCCTAAACCAGGGCCCTGTTTCCAAGAGCACAGAGCCTCTGGCACTTCTACTCTCCTTGTTTTGAAAAATCAGGTTGCATATTAAAGATGTGTACCTAAATTCAAGCTTATGAGTCAGTCCATAGTTACTCATTTTCAAAAGGCTGGCAGCCTCCTATCTGCAGAAGCAACATAACAGCTAAACTGCATGAAACGTACACAAACCAGACAGGCAATCACTCAGTCACAGAAAATGGAAGAGTCGTGTACACAGCATTCAGCCCCCAAGCTTGCTTCTTGACTACAGAGCTCTGTCTGGAGCCTCTGAGCTGAATTCCACAGCCAGTAGCATTAATTTGGGCGTACTTTTGTTGTTAGGGTGTTTAACATAAAATTCGCCTGCGCAGCATGTACAGATGCAGTTCCACAAAGATCAGGCAGAAAACGCCTGTTAGTGCTGACATAATATGATCCTCTTAACATGTATTATGCCAGCGCTACCTTCCCTCTCCTCCCCCAGTAGTCCTGGCTACTGCACTGCAAATGGTACAGCTGAAAGAGGTAAGCAGAAAACTGGTCTCAGCAACCAAGCCTAGAGCCTGCCAGGACAGCCTACTGCCTTTTCCCGCTGCCTTCCCCTGTCACAAAGTAGTTATGCAGACTGGGATGATGGAGAGGAAATAGCTGTGGGACCCCGTACCCAAGGAAAGCAGTTAAGGTAAGAACAGACTGCCTGTGCCAGAAGAACCTCTCCACCTCTAAGCCTGATTCCTGCCCATATCTGAGACCTTCATGAGTAAGGGACAGGGAGCTGTCTGCACAATCAGTTTTGCTGATACAGATCTGCTCCATATGACATCCAGGAATGTAATCTAACGTCAGTCAGCCTATCTCCATTCTCTGAGAGAGCAGCTGAGACCTGGAGCATGGAGAAGACAAGTAGAACAGTGTGCGATCACAACCACGTTCACCCCCAGGTGAACAGACACAGCACAAAATGGCACTAACCAAGGGCCACAGCCTTCTGGTCCTGGTAAATGGATCACTGTGTTAACACCTTCCTTCCTACTCAGGAGCTCAAGGTCTCAGATGAAGCCACTAACCATCTGTTTTATCTAATCTAGACAATTATTAAAAGAAAATCAGCAAATAAATCATCCTTGGAAGGACATTCATTTTTGTTTCACTGTACCATGCAGAGGCCTTTCCATTTTACTAGTGCATTCTCAGGCTGAGGTTATTCACCTCATAAATTTTGTTTACATCTGACAGTATATTTATCCTAGGACATTGCACTGTTTTATTAGCCCATCTAAATTCAGATTGATTATGTTCTTCCCCAGCTGAAAGGTGAATTGTCAAAGCCTGTGATTTATTACAACTCTAAAGACCAGGACAGACCTAAATTAATTTATTTCTGCAAGAGTACATGGCAAGACAGAAAAGGCAAAGCAGGAATGCTGTACCACTCAGGGAAGGAGCCACTGTTTCTCTTTTGCTTATTGATAGATCTGTGATATATACATCTGCTTTAGTTTATGGAGTGATAGGTTCCAGAACTACTGCCAAAGGTAACAGCATAGGCAAGTCTCACAGGACATTTCTCCTTAATTTGTACTGATATGTCATCTCAATGATTGCTTCTACTAATGCTCTGCAAGGGATGGATCAAATGCCTGGATGTTGCTACCTACTCTGCAATATCAACCTAACTGTGAAAGAACTTCCCTAAGTGAGAGCCCTCCTGTCAGTCATTTCAGTAATCTGTGGTATTAAAATTTACTTCATAGCCTCTTAGATCAGAACATGCCAGTCTGCAATGCCCAATGGCTGCCCACTCAGAATCAAACCTTGCTTCTTCACTGTCTGCTGACATGGGTTTCTATTCTCAATGACATATAGTTTCAATTTCTCTAACATGCTGGAGAAGAAACATCACAACTCTTAGTTTTTGCCTTTACAAGCAAATTTCATGTTCTTGTGTGGAAATGTTAACAAGCATTTACTATGTGACTAGCTGAATAGTCATGGGACAAATGACCATTGATGGGGAGGGGTGACAGTGCAGCTGGGAGTGGTGGAAGTGAGAGAAAGCCTCCAAGCATCCATCAGGACCTGGATTCTGTTATGATTACATAGCTTAACAGAGCTCATTATGCCAGCCAAAGGCAAACACACTATTTCTGCTACTTCAAGGCCCCTTTCTCACCCACACTCATTAATTTTCCCTGTCCCAAGATTTTTATCTTTTAAGAGCAATAAAACATGTTATTTGCAGTTCTGAAAACTCAAGAGTACTGCAAAAATCCCTGACAAGGCTCTCCAGCCAAAAGCAAACAAAATTAAAACCCCAAGCAAACAGAAAGCTGTGCCCTCAAAACCTGTTCTCTGCACACTGCTTTTCTGAAGTTCTTTGTTCCTCATAGCCTTCTCATCTATCAGAAGCAAACCATCACTCCCATATTAGCAAAACAGCTTGTTGAAAGGCTGCCACAGAAGCTGGAGCACCCAGCTGTATATCTGCATACAGGAAGGAATGGGGTTTTTCATGCAATACAGCACCAGCAACCTTCAGATCTCTTCCTAGCCAACTCTCAAAAGGTCTCTTTCTATCACAGTGGATAGATGACAGAGAAAGAGCTAACACACATGCACAGTCCTAGTTTTCCTATCAGGCTTCCCTGGGAAGTGGAAGTCTGTGTATACACACATGGGCTCTTCCAGCAGAATCCTTGGCCTTATAACAGCACTAAGAGCCAAAAAGTCCCCTAAATCAGGGCCAAGATAGCAGCCTGTTCTTGTGAAAGTCACATACCAGTAAAATAAGTAAAATGCTGGAATTGCTCTTCAGAATGGGAAGTAATGGGTTAGCAGTGTCCAGCTGATCAGACACACCAAAACCAGCTTCTTCAGTCTCAGTTTGCTTGCAGTCTCCCCAGGAAAACCAGAGTTGGAGGACCTGGTGTCCAAATCTCCCCGTAAGTTCAGGGTAGTGCAGGAAGAATTTCAGCAGGAGAGGACAATGGACGTAGACAAAGCTCAGATCTGGAAGATTATTCAGGATCCTCTTTATGGTACACAACGACCTCTGGCAAGCGTGTGGGAGGGAAAGGGGGAGAGAGAACAAAATAATCACTAGATACTGAATATCAAAAAGCTGAAGTGATGAGAGTTTACTGTGAGAAAGAGTCACACTGCCTTTAAAGTAGACAATCAAATATATCAGTTAAACATCATTTTGTGAAGCCCATTTGCATCACAAAGGCTAAGAAACTTGTAGGCTTTATATAGTGCTCAAAGCTGTGCAGCAGCAGCAAAAAGCCATATGGGAACACTAGGAAGCCTGCTGCAGAGGCTGTAGATGTGTTCAGGAGACTGAAGCTATGGAATTTATTATATTCCGTATGTGAATTCACACCCTATCCAACACATTTACACTTCCCACACATACACAAGTTTATTCAGTCAAATCTATATTCCCTAGTGGCTTTTCACAGTTAACTTTCCAGAGTGTAGCTGCACTGCGCGCTCTTCGCTCATTCACTGCTCACCACCTATGTCAAAATACTTTCTGCAAGAGGGTTGATGGGAGTGGGGAGAAACCTTAGTTTCAACAAAAAGCATCCAAGAGGTAGGCATGAAATCTGCTTTTACCAAGTCCAGGGCTTTGCCTTTGTCCTGACAGACAGCAAGGAGGTAAAAAGCAGCTCTGAGTATGTACGGAGGGGGACAGTCTCCATGGTCCTGTGCTGATATGAGGAAATTTTTTATGGCTAAAAATAATTCTGCTTCTGGGACAAACCTGCATTCAAGGAGATTGGAGTGGAAACAATAACATTAGACATGCTTTACTCACCAGCACATGGTATGTAAAGGCCACAAAACCATTTGCCTTGTATTCTCATGGCTCACCTGTCCCCAAGGGTGTAGGAAAAGTATAAGAGTAGTATGAAGCAATGTTGGTGGCTGCAAAGAGACTGATCCAAAGAGAAAGGCTCAGGGGTTTCAGCCAGAAGGAGAAGGCTTTCAGCAACAGTGTAATTTAATTGAGGCAGACCCTTCTGCAGGAGCTCAGACATCTCTTGTTCTAGAAATAAAACTAATATGAGCAGGCAGGCAGTGATGAGGAATGTCTATGACAAAGCAGAGTGGAACAGGTGGATGGAAGCATCTGCCTGTCCTAACTCAAGCACTTTAAATTAGGGAAGCTCCTAATGTAAGAAATATCAAAGGCAACCTACTACCCCACAGTCTGCATACAGCAAGCACACTTCTATGATTTGGCATCAGTAGAGGTGCGAGACCTGATTTAATGAAGCTGGCTTTGAGGATGAAAAAACACTTCTGTTTGAGGTTTCCAGCTCTTTGCTGATGCTGCCCGTATGGAGACCAACCACTGCCAGTGGGAAAAATGGCTTCTGTGATGTGGAAACTTTCATCTCATTTATTTGGGACTTACCTATCATGGAAAGTTACAGTATAGACAGGAAAGCTTTATAGAATATACCGGAGCAAAAAATTACCTTAATCTGCAGATATGGGTGAATATGTGGCAAGTAGTATTGTTTCAATTAAGCCATACACAGTTGTGCTAATAAATGTCACTACATAAATAAAACTATAGGCAGATGAAAAACATTGTTTCAGATAGGGTTCCAAACAGCATTACTTGGGTGTTATCTCCTTGCTGGACCAGCTTTTAGAAAAGCTGAGGGAAAAAATTCTCTACTAGAGTTTATGTGTGTCCTCCCTTCCCTCTTCCTTCATCTCTTCATTCATTATTATTATTTTTGCACCTACTGGCTAAACAGACGGTGGCAGGGCCTCAACCTAAATAAATCAATTTATCTTTCCCCAAACTTGCCCTCCTGAGAAGAAGTTCTCTCCTTTTCTGTGGCAGAATAAAGGCTCAGGCACAAGCTGTAGAGGAAGCTGGAACAGGCCTGATTCAAGGCAGGATTACTGTGAAGAAGAGCAGAGAGATACAGTGAAGAAGGCTAGAAACATCCCCTTCATATTTCTAATATCACATGCTGTCTGCCAGAACCTCAGTTTATTGAATGATCACATACAAGCATCTGCCCCGTCACAGCAAGACTCCAGGAGCCAACATGGGCTTCCAGGAAGATGACGAGTTCCCAGAGGACAGTCAGCTCACAGATGTGGCACATGCAATAGTGATGATGACAGTGAATGTGCTCACATACCTTGTGACAACAGGAATACAGAGGGGTATGCTTATAATTATCATTAACACTGCAGAGAACAGGAGGTGTATGAGGGTGGCTCCTGATACCCGATTCCACTGGTTAACACCAATAAGGAGATTTTTGAGCAATGGTGTTTCCAGGAATGAACAATGAAGAATGCCAACATGTTAACTAAAGGGTGAATCTCCAGGTATTTCTCTCTCTCTCTCTCCAATTGACCTCCTTGCAGAGTAGGATATAACCAAACATCTTTGCACTGTAACACACCATCCTTGGTGCCCCACACTACTGTATTCAGAGGCCTAAATCACTCCCCTCACACACCATTCACAGGCACAAACATCCCCAACTTCCACAGTGGTAACCTGGACTGCTGTGTATTTTGTGTACTCTTTTAATAAGATGCCATCACAGGAAAGAGGAGGTAAAACATCTCTGCAGATCCACAGAAAGTCCCCCTCAAGTGCTCCTCAATCTAGAAATTCTAGCCTCAGCTACAGAAGATTCTTTGCAATTTCTGCGGCTGAAGTCTTCCCCCTCCCTCCCATTTCTTATACATTATCACACTGCAAGGAACAGAGATAGTGGTAATATGTGCCTAGGAAGCCAGAGCTCAAATGGAACTGATGCTACTGTTACTTCTTTTCAAAACACCCCCTGATTTGACTACTCCACAGTCAGGCTGCTTTATCTCTATCTGTGCAGCTCACGATGAAGCACAGAATCCTCACAAAGCTGTGTAAATCCACCCGCCCCCTACCCGACTGCTTCTCCTTTCTCCCACATCCAGCTTTTCCATTGTCAGTTGCTGTTTACATTTTGCAATGAGATACAAACACTCTTGAGTCCTTCAGCCTCCCCTCTTGCCTGATCAGGTGCATTAGGTAAGTTATGATCTGCTTTCCCATCTGGAAATTTTTTACTCATATAATACACACATCACAATACCTTTGTACAGAGCAAAACCTGGCCTTCAGCTCCAGTGTCAGTCGGATGAAGGAGGAGGATGCTAGACAGAAAGCAAGGCAGAAATGTCGAAGGAATACAGAATGTGTACAATAAGGGAAAAGAGCAGGCAGGTCCCATAATCATCCCCACATATCTCCATGCAAACCTGGTGAAGAGGGCAGGCCATCTCAGTAAGAATACATTTGCTAGGCCTTCTCCAAAGCAAACTACTCCAAGTTTGGTTTGGAGGGAAGATTTAGTTTTCTTCTCAGGAAGAGAAGCTAAGATTTGCCAGTTTCACGCATTTAGAATAGAGGAATTCCATACATCACCACTCTGCTGTGCCAAGAGTAAGGAATACAGAGTAAATAGGATTTCTACATATAAAAACGCACCACTAATTTCAGCATAATCCCTCTCTACAAGAACACCCAATTCTGAATATTCCAGAGGAAAGAGTAAAGCTGACACAACTTACTTATCTAAAATAAAATCTGTCCCATCACCATTGCTAGACCAAATAACTTGCTGCTGAACATGACTGCGCACTCTATTCTTACTCATATAAACATGTAATATAATCCTCCACAGAAAGTCTCGTTAAGCTCATTGCCTCAGTAATATGCAGTAGCAGCAAGTTCCATCAGTTAAGTGCACAGAGAACATGATCCCACACTACCCTCATACCCAGCTTTTTGGAGAACTTATTCCGCATATTTGGCATGACTGTAAAGAGGGTATTAAGTGATGAGATGAAAACCTCCATCATTGACGGGCTGACAGCCCTTTCCAGGTATTTCTGTAAAGAAGAAAAGATCAGGTACGTGACATGCAATAAGCACTGAAAGCAGCAGCTTTCTTTTGGCCTCCTGCCCACCCAGAAAGTTAGATTTCTAAATCTAAGCAAGTGGAGTAACAGTTCTTCTACCAAAATGCCTGGCAGTAAGTACCCGGGCTTACAGAGCACTTTGAAAGCAACTAACACTCCCCTCTTCCAACGTTACGAGCTGTGCTTCTAACTCTGCAAGACATTACATCAAGCAAGAAACTTCTTCCGGATTCCAGCTGGCAACCAGTTAGGCCTTAATGCACAGCGACTGTCATTACTCCCCATATTGCCCTCGACATAACTGTTCTTACAGGTCATTTGGCTAATTCTCCAGTGTGGCATACAATGTAGGACATAAGCTTAAGTGCAGCTGACTTCAGTAACACTTAACACCTGTGCTTCAGTATTTTATTCAGTAGTGGCAAACACAGGCATTTAAGGTCTCTGTAGAGACCAGCCCTAAATGACTCAACTCGCTCTTGTAGAAGGTCACTGGACAATTTTCTCACAGTTCATTAATTTTTACCCAAGTTCAGTGAGCAAGAAACAGCACACCGACTCCGGCTTTGCCAAACTGGACATGCACTGCACCCTCCCTTCAGGGAGGAGAACAGCAATGCTGCTGCAGCTGCCTACCAAGAAATTGGTCAAAAAAATACAAACCAAAACCTCTCCAAGCTCCTAACAATTGCAAGAATTCATGCACAAACAAAATTTACTCAACATTGAGAATGACAACAAGAGTCCCATTGTTTTGACAATTCTGCTCAAAGCGTCTTAGTAACGGGTCTGTATGGAGCACGAAAGTACAAGTGACTCTCCAGTGTTGCTTTTTAACCCCTGTCCCTGGCCTTATTGAGACACAATGCTTAGTACTGCTCTTGCTTTGCATATGGGGCAGCTTCCTCAATACCTTCTGGAAAGAAGCGTGAAAACAAAATTGCAGATGCATAATAACTCTTCTTTCTGGGACAGGAAAGTTTTGAAAAAGTGGCAGAAGGAGAAACAACATTTCCATTGTTCTCTTCATTTTCTGCAACATCCAGAGTTGCCATGGATTAGATAACATGGCAGGCAGGCTATGGGGATTGCACAGTCTGAAGAAAGACACCGCCATCTACATGGAATCTTTTATGAATTTCTCCACCCTGAGACTGTAGGCTCCCATTTTCCATAAACATAATGCCACATTTGCTCTGGAGAGGTGGCAAATGCCACAGCTGTTCTTGGTTTACTCTATATGCTCTCTTCCCCATAAAACACATGTGCAACTCACTCTTGGTACTCGAAAGCAACTTTCAAGGAATAGACCAAGTTTAAAAAAACCCTACCATGACCATGGGGATGCAGAGACCATCACAAATCCTCAACAGGAACTCTGAGAAGTTGCTCAGTGTGTCCTTGCTCTCAGAGTTGGGGGCAGTGAAAGCGTTCTCCTGGGCCATGGGGTCACTCTGAAATTCCACTGCTAACCTACAAAAACAAAGTGGATACCAGAGGAGAGAGGAATCCTCCTCACTCTGTAAAGGAAGTTGGGAAATACTACATTTCCATCACAACTTTCACCATTAAGGACCCTACTAACACTTGATGGCTTGGAAACACAGGAATCTGGCAATCACATACAGTGAAGCTATTAAAAGTCAGCAATGTTGCACAACAGTACAAGTTGGGAAAGGAAGACTTAGTTTCTGCAAAGTACCTGCTGTGGGAAGCCCTAGTGTGGCAAGACTAAAAGTTCTCATCCAGGCCAGAGTGCCTAGAGCACAACACAGCAAACCTCATGAAAACCAGCCAGGGGACCATTCAGCCAATTTAAAATCTGTGACAGAACCAGAGTGCCCTGTAACACCAACCCAAGACACCGGGTCAGTGCAGACGAGGACACCTGATTCAAACTAAATTATCTCAACCAAACCAAATGCAAGTGATGCAAGGCAAAAAAACTAAGCTGGCCAGACTTCCCTAACAACAGATCCAGCTTCACAGACCGCCATCTGCTGTGCAGCTAAGGGTGAGAGAGAGCTCTCACCCAGAAAAATAGGAAAAATTGGTGCCTATAAACCCACTTGCAGTAACAGGTTGCAGACAAGAGCAAATCCAAGGCCAGCATCTGGAGCAGATACACATCTGTTAAATGGTTAATGCCATTCAGCAGTGAGACCACGTGCCCCAGGGCACAGGAATATGGTTTCACACATATCTTCCAACCATTCGTACATTGTCACCAATTTTGGCTACTTTTCAAGTAGTTCCTCAAAGGCCAAACGAACTGGTAAGTCCCAGGGAAACTCCCTGGGAGACACATAGAGGTGTCACAAAATTTTCACTATCACTACATATCCCTCCCTCTTTCGTTTCCCTGACAAGTGCCATGCATTGAACTCACCTGTGACATTTCATTGGTGGGGCTGGGTAGAGGAACTCAGTTATTAGGACAGAAGGATGGACGGACACGGAGACACACACCGCCCACCTCCCTGATTTGTCCTCACCTGCAAGCATTTCTGAAACTTTCCAGGGTGTTGAGCAAGAGCTGGCCCTGTCTCTGAGGAATTCTGCTGAGATTTCTGTTTGCTGGGTGATCCTGAGACACTGAGAACAGATCCCCCTGTTAAAGGAGAGAAGTCTTTAAAATCTTATGTTCACTGTTGGAAAAAATAGTTTTCTTCTCTGATAGCAGGAGGAAAAATAGATTTCCTTTCACTCCTTTCACATAATTTTTTTTTTACTAATGTGCTTTCCCCAGAGATGGCAGAGTCAGAGAGCTTCTATGCTCTTCCTTGGGAGGCCAGAGTTACAGAGCTACTAGTTCTGCACTGCCCTGTCTCTGCAGTTTGTATTGTTCTTCCAATTACTCTTCAGATGACACTGAACAGTCCCTCTCCTTGCTCACCACTGAAATCTTAGAAGTTCCCTGCTTTGTCTCAGATTTATAAGCAACTATCCATGTACTGGCTCTTGTTCCCACACAACATCCTACTGACTTCAGCCAGAATCCAATTGCAGCATCAGAGTTAATCATTTGCCTAATGGCTAATGGAAACCACTTGGAACTCAAAATCTGCCTTTAAGCCTTAACCTGTTGTGGTGGTCTTCTCCAAATACTACCAGAGGAGGGCACAGTGACACAGTGGTGCCTGGCAATTCAGAATTCCTTTTGCGTTTGATGGTGAGATACCCTAGTACAGGTACAATCATTTCCTCTTTCTCCCATTAAAGACAGCCTGGATGTCCTTGCTATCTGCCTAATTTCCTTCCTGTGAAACTCCTTGTTCTGAACAGGACACCAAGCTCTGTGTGTTTGCAGACTGACCAACATCTGCCTATGGGGCAGAAAGCAGTTCTACCTTAAGCAGGGAAGACAGACATCTAGTACCACATAACTTGGGCCTAAAGATAGTTCAGCAGGCATTTTGAGCTCTGGTACTCCAGCAAGGTGCTCTTGCCACTACAGATGTGCAATCTAAACCTACATGGCTCTAAATCTAGATCAAGAAGGCTCAGCCCTTGTCTCTTCACTAGCCATCTGTAATGGAGACTCCTCTCAGAAGTGCATTGGTCCCAGCAGCACATCACACTAACTACATATTCCAGGAATAGGAAAGGATTTGCAGGTGGCTAACAGCTCCCCTGCTGAGGCATCACAGTGCACATACGATGACCCTCTTGGTCTGAAGGCAGAGCAAGAGATGTTCTTTGCCAAAAAAAAAAAAAAAAA